TGAATGTAAGAAGAAACTGCAGAGCATAATGGTCAGTGCGTACGCGACATCTCCTGCCGTACAAATACGGCCGGAACTGTTTGCATGCGAAAATCACGGCGTACAACTCTTGGCGGGTCACGCAATAGTTCAGCTCGGCCCCACTCAAGGTCCGGCTGGCGTACGCGATGACTCGTTCCGTCCCATCCTGTACCTGTGACAACACCGCGCCCAGCCCGCTGCTGCAGGCGTCGGTGTCCAAAATAAAATCGGTGGTAAAATCGGGGAAAGTGAGGGTGGGGGCGTGGGTGAGGTGGTCTTTGAGAGTGGTGAAGGCCGTCTGGCAGGCCCCCGTCCACTGGTAGGGGTGCTTAGGGGAGGTGAGTTGGGTGAGGGGGCGTGCAATCTCGCTGAATCCCTTTACAAATCGACGATAATAGGTGGCGAGCCCCAAAAATGATCTGATCTCCGTCAGATTCCTTGGCCGTGGCCACTCCACTACGGCGCGTACCTTCTCCGGATCGGTGCGCACGCCTGCCTCGCTGACGCGATGCCCGAGGTACCCCACCTCGCGTTGTGCGATGTAACACTTACGTGGCTTGAGCTTGAGATGAGCCGCTCGCAGTCGCTGGAACACCTCTCGACGCCTGGACCAATGCTCAGACAAAGATCTACTGAACACTATCACATCGTCCAAGTAAATCAGGCACTGTTCCCACTGCAAGCCCCGCATCACCAACTCCATCAACCGCTGGAACGTCGCGGGCGCGTTAGTGAGTCCGAACGGCAACACTCGAAACTCAAACAGGCCCATCGGGGTGGTGAATGCTGTTTTTGACCGATCCTCCTCCGTCATCTCCACCTGCCAGTAACCGGACGCCAGATCGAGGGTGGAAAAATACCGCGCTCCTGCGAGACTGTCGAAGGTGTCGTCGATGCGAGGTATGGGGAAGGCATCGCCGAGCGTGATTGCGTTTAGTTTACGGTAATCGACGCAGAACCGGGTTGACCCATCCTTTTTCGTTACTAGTACCACCGGGGCTGACCAGGGGCTCGCCGAGGGCTGAATTATGTTATCGCGAAGCATGTCCCCAACTGCCTCTTTGATTTGGGCGCGTTCGGGTGCGCCCACTCGGTACGCAGGGAGTTTGATGGGTCGGGCTGCACCGGTGTCAATTTGATGCTTAACAAGGTCGGTCCGACCCACGTCCGAGTCGTGTTCGCTGAACACGTCGGCATACTCCCGCAGTAACTCGCGCAGCCGATCGGCCTCTCCCTTAGGTAAGTCCGCCCATGGTACATGTAACGCGTCGAGCAGGGGAACGACCTCAGCTCGGGGAGTCGGGCCGACTCGCCAGGCCAGGTCCTGCTCACCCTCAGGACGACCGGGGTCCTCAGCCCAGAGTGCGAACACCGAGTCGTTAGAGTGGCGTGCGTGCAGGGGGTGTACTGTGGCTATCGGGGTGCGCCGTCGCAGTATCGCGGGGGTATTGTGGGGGTTAAACATCCGCATAAACAATCGGTCCCCATCTGCGTTTACCAACGTGGCGGATCCCACAACCCCATACCGTTTTGCCAACTCCGGGTGAGGAGTTAGCATTACCTCCCCTGATGGTCGGAGCGCGGGGTCGGTGGGGGATGTTGCCACCGGCACCAGCATCTCGGTGAGCGGGCCGATGGTGACTGCCGTCGCCAGGATAGCGGCCACAGGTGCAAAGCGGCGGCGCGTTGGTTCTCGTCCCAGGAACGGTATCCGCTCGCCGTTGCTCTCCATGGTGGCGCATCGCTGGCGGGGTTGCACGTTGAGTCCCAACCGTTCTAGGAGGTCGGTGCCTGCGATACACTCGTGACACAACGCACTCGACACGTAGAACTCCTGCGTGCACACCTGGCTGCCTATGCGGACCTCTAGGGTGGCTTTCCCCAGCAGCCCCATTCCGGCTCCGCTCGCAGTGTGCAGCGCGCGGTCCGGGGCCTGCAGGTGACGCACGTCGACCCCGATCGGGCTGCAGTGCGCTGCGCTCACGAGCGAGGCCACCGCCCCCGTGTCCAGCAGGATTCGGGTACGCACTCCGTTAACCTCCCCTTCCACCAGCGACGTGGCCCCCGTGATCCCCGCCACCAGCTCCCGTAGCCAGTCGCCAGGAATCATCGTTTCCGTGGGCGTTGTTGCTGGAACCTGTGTGGAGATCACTCGCTCGCCATTATTCTCATTATCGTCTATTTGTATCGGGACCGCGTCGATTGCACCCCTAGTTGGTCCGCTTTCTAGGGGGCGTTGGAGTTTAACCCCCGCATCTGCCTAGCTCGGGTGATTTCAGGACAGTCTCTCACTAAATGCCCTCGGCGATCGCACATATAACATGCCCGAGGAGGGGGAGCGGATCCGTAGTGGGTCCCCTGCCCAATCCCTCCCCCCCCATTACGCCGCTGTCCACCCTCCGCCTCGAGTCGGGCTACCCTTCCAGATAACCCTCCCACCGTGGCGCGTAGGTCCCCCATTTCGGATCGGATGGTCTCAACGGAGGATTGCAGTTTGGTCATTTTCTCACCTACGTGGGTTATCTTACCATCCATATCTCCGATGCCGGTCTGTAACCCAGCTACCCACCCCGGAGTTGTTTCGCTGGGTCTCTGGGGCTCCCTTGCCCGTCCCCTTACTGCGATGGCGAGCTCCTCCTCCTCGTCCGAGAGTAGGCTCGCTACGGCGCACTCTCGTCCCCTCCCTCGAGGCTGCGCGCGCTCACCAGAGAGCTTCTCGCATTTACGCGCGCGCTCGACAAGTGTGTTAAAGGAGAGGCGTGCACCGTCTATATTTGGCTGCCACCACGGGGTGCGTGCCAAATATCGCTGGACCTTCCCGGCGGCGAGGCTCTCAATTACTTTCGCCTCGTGCTCCGGGTACGCAAGCTGGGTCAACATGCGTACGTCCTCGGCGTAATCTCGCAGATCCTCGCCGGGCTGGCGGCGGCGTGCCTCTAAGGCCGCCTGCGCCTCCTCCTCGTCATAGGCGCCGAAGCGCCGTTCGAGTTCGCACATTAATTTTTCCCACTGAGTTTGTGTGCTTGTGGGCAAAGCTTCCACAAAGTCAGCTGCCCGTCCATCTAAATGTATCTCTAACTGCTGCAACGCCTCCTCATCCGACCACCCATTAACCTTTGTAGCCCCCCTGATGCTGCGGGCAAACGATTTCCATGATGGAATTCCTTTGCCCGTAAATGTGCATTTGATTTTAACCTGGGTTGGGGGGCCTCTTTCCCTTGGGGGTGCGGGGGATCGTCCCGCTTCTGACACCAATATGTGGGGGTCGCTAGCCCCCGAGATTCCTCCCTCGATAATGCTAACGGCCGGGCTAGCATCATCAATCGCCCCCCCGCTGCTAAGCGAACCGCTGCTAAGTTCCTCACCTATGGCGGGGGAGCCGTCGCCCGCGGATTCTCCTCCACCGCGGGTCCGCGTAATGGGCATGGTTAATTACCGATTAGTATTCTGCCCCTCTCTACTACGATACTTCCCTTTCCTAATCGCGCGCCTGCACCCCACGCGGGGCGAACGCACGCACGCCCACACACACGCCGCTCCGCGCACTCCAACTCAACTCACGTTATACTCGCGCACCTGTATCACACACGGAGTGAACACACGCGACACCCACTCTCGCACCGCTCTGCGCAGCGCTCCCCCGAGGCGAGCCGCAGCACTACAGAATCACTGCGTACCCACGCGCAACTCGCACGCTCAGCTCCGCGCAGCGCTCACTCACGTGGCGAACCACTGTGCACACAGCGCACCCACACGCTCACACTGCACGACAAGATCACGCGAGACCACGCTTCGCTATTAATGATTTATTATAGGCCACCTGCGAATTGATGTTGAATCAGTGAGTCGACGAGGCTGGCCTATTCCACTAAACCTGTACCTATTCCCTATTTATCGGCTTACGATACCCTACTTCACCTCCCCACTCACTGTTTGGTGCCCGCGGAGGTTCGCTGCTCTCTGCGCTAACAGCGTACCTCGATGCGTCGCACGGACGTCCGGGTCGCTGGCCGGAACTCCTGCTGGTCCGCTGGCCTGGAGAGAAGGGGCGATTTCCCCTCTCCGCTCCTCTATTTATCCTCCCTACCTCAAAGGGGATGCTGCGCTGAACAATGGGCTCGTGCACCCCCAGCCCGCGCACCCCAAGCCCGCGCACGGCGGTTCCCGGGCGCTGTTGATATGCTAATCAGTGCGCGACGTTGGCGGCGTACATCCTAATTACTCCCTTACCCTTCCTAACAATGGGGCCTGCGCGCTCAAGCGCAATTATCCCAACCCTCAGCCCCTGTGACCCCGCTATTCATGCTGTCCCGTGCCTCCCCTGCTTGCCCCGTCGACCCGTGGGAGTGTGTGTGGGGGGAAATGCGCCTCAACCGCGGTGGCCGAATGCCCCACGCCGCGACCACACCATATTAAGGCCGGCCGCAGCGCCGCGGTGCCACGTAGCACGGGGGGGTCATCCAATTCCCTGATCGCCGGAAACCGTGAGAATTAATCCCGATAAGGGTCTCTCGGATAAAAACCGGTCGATCAGGTAACCTTCCCTTCCAGCTCTATGGGGGGGGGGGGATGCGTGCGGGTGTGTGCTTATGTGGGGGGGGGGGGGTGATGGGGGGCAGTGCAGTGGTGGAAGCCGGGCGGCTCCCTGGCTCGGCAGAGCGGCCCCGTCGTTGTGGCACCACACAATCTCCTCCCCCATCTATAGACCCAGGAGTATTGAGGGCCTCAGTCCACATAATTTTTGTAACCCCCCTCCCCTTGTTGGGGTGTATGCTAAATACTGGGTTCTTATTTTGTTGCAACAAAAAACACGTACCTTTCTCATCAATACATAGTTGGACCAAAAAAAGAGGATATATACAAAATATATGGTGATCGTTGTATATAAATGTGTTACATGCCACTTTAGTGGCTTAAGTTAATGACGTAAGTAGTCTTTGCAGTTCGTCTGTCCTAACCATGTTTATTTGACATTGCAGTTCCTCCACAAGTCAATGTTACCGTCATCGTCAACAGCCCTACAGCCATAACAGTCTCATGGGTGGCTCCGACTTCAGACGTTGACTATTACATGGTCTACTTAAATGAAACCTACAATGCAACAGCAGTGAAGAGCTTCATTTTGCCTTCCACCGTTACAACACAAGCATTTACTGATCTGGTCCCTGGTAGAAGTTATAACGCTTCTGTAACAGTATACAGTGGCATCAACTCCCAACCGTCAGACATTGTCACGAATAGAACCTGTAAGTATATGCATTGTTTATATTCAGATAATCATTTGGGTGAACACCACAGAAGAAATGCATTTTCACAAGCAAAAGCAATCACCACAAATATAATCTCGGTATTTTATTAGAAGGCATTTGTAAACAATCACAATGTCTTTTTAAAAAAAAACATTAGTTTTGATCCACGTTAAGAATAATTTAATCTAAATTCGAAGACAATTATACATTAAATTAAAATATATAGCATTGCTTTCTGGACCTGATGACGCCAACACTATGTGAGACTGGGCTCCAAGAAAAGCTGTCTCTGGTGTGGACCAATCAATTTCAAGGACAATGCATACATTATCAGAGTTGTTTTTTGTTTGCATTCTGACCGCAGGTATTGGGATTAATGCAAACATGATTCCGTGTAAAAAGGTGTCAGTTTTGTTGCCAGAAAAAAGGGTAAAAATACCTATTTTTAGTTTCCCTTAAACACATTCCATTACTGATAAACCATTTTTGTCTTAAATCAATACCTTTACACTTCACTATTCGAATATTACTTTAATCCTAAGCTGTATGTCTATCTTTACCATCCATTTATATTGGTATATTACACCCATTATCTGTACTGTATATGTACTTTATATGTACTTTACTTGTCACCATTGTACAACTTACTGCTGTACACGTGTTCTATTCTTAATAGCATTGCAATTAGGCATACTCTAGGTGCATGGGCATGGTTATACTGGTAGGAACGAAGTGGACCAGCCTACAATAGATTATTTCGTCCGTCCGTCCGTCCGATGTCCGATTACGTGTAGCAACATCGCCCCCTACTGAAAATACTTGGCATGACCCTACAAAAAGCTTTAGACTCTGTGAGGCTTTCCTGGCTAAACAAGTGTAACATTCCCTTATAATTCCCTCAGATAGCTTTTAATTAAAACATTTAAATTAATGAGGCTTTCCTGGCTAAACACGTGTAACATTCCCTTATAATTCCCTGAGATAGCTTTTAATTAAAACTTTGAAATTAAATAAAAAAAAACTCACAGCGCCCTAAAGCCTACAGCTAGGCCTAAAGCCTAGAACTAGGCCTCAAAGTCTCCCTTCGTATCGTACCCCCGCGTGTGTGAAAGGGAGTTAATGTTTAACAATGTTACATTCCCTGATGTTTTAAAATAGAAACATTTACATTTAAAGCTTTTACATTAATAATTAAAACATTTTAATTGTACATTAATAATTAAAACATTTTAATTAAAAATTAAGTCACAACGCCCTAAAGCCTACAGCTAGGCCTAAAGCCTAGATCTAGGACTCAAAGTCTCCCTTCGTATCGTCCGATTAGGTGTAGCAACATCGCCCCCTACTGCAAACACTTGGCAGGACCCTACAAAAACCTTTAGACTCAGTGGGGCTTTCCTGGCTAAACAAGTGTAATAATACATTATGTTTATATTCTTTGGTTATTTGTTCCTACCAGCCCACCTTGCAGGGTCCTGTTAGAATAAACAGTATTAGGATTATATAATTACCAGTATTAACTACAGTACATCATCTTACAGTGTACAGTGCTAAGCTCTCTATTTTGAGTTAGCTCCAACTCTTTGTGCACGAAGAGATAGGAGACCGAGCATTGTATTATGCTTTTGGAATTACCAGACACTCTGGTATTATTAAACCATGCTTCACATTTTACTCATCAGAAATGGTTAAGATTATTTTTCCAGTACTTGTTAAGAAAAACATCCTTTCCAGCTTGTAAATGCCCTGTGGAATTTAGCTCTTAGGTACTTACTAATCGCCCTACCAAAATACTTTAAACCTTTTCCTCATCATTTTTGTTTTATGTTTCATCTCAAGCAATAACCCCTTCTTAACATATTAAACACAACACTTACAAAGAAAATCTTAAACAACTTCACAACCATATTATCACTGCTAATATTTTGTCTAAATCACCCATGTCGTAGTTAAAAGATCCTTGTTTCTCCATGGGCTCCTTCTCACAATGTTAGGTTAGCCCAACTTGTCATAGGTGTCTTTGGCTGTCTTCTCGAGTCTTCTGTTGTGATGACTACTCTCATACATATGTCTTGCCTACTGCTGATAACTGTTGTTCACCTTCTGTCTTGTATGGGTGGAATTCTTCAGCTTCTGGGTTCAACGGTGACTGCGTGTCCTGTATTACTATAGCTTGCTGATCAGTTTTTTGTCAACTATAGTAAACTCAAATTCTTTATCCGTTATCAATTCATTGTCTGTTGGTTCCTGCGTTTTTTGCATGGGCATCTTGTCCTTGTTTGGTGAGTTTTCTTGATTGCTTTCTTACTCCGTTGATTTTGTGACGGCTGCTCAATTGTGATCGTGTCCGCGAGCACAAGTCAGATCTTAAACACGGCAGAACTGATTTTTCGGCCGTTGCCGATGATTGCTACAACTCGGTGGGCTCTCATGAAATTGTATTTTCCGAGACCAAGGTTCTCTGCAAACCTCCTGGTTACCATCAAAGGTTTGTACACGAAGCCATACAAATATACAAACACAGACATAATTTCAACCGTGATGACGGTTACAAACTGAGTAATCATTGGAAAGATGTGATTAACCATGCAAAAAAGATTTAACTACACTTATTTGCCAATCTTATTTGACAGACAACCATTACAATTTTACCATGTTTAGTGGTGGTCTCCCTGTCACAGGTTGAGTCACAAACCGCACCTCTCCATAACAAAGGCTCAGCCTTTGTTATGCAGTCTATTCTTAGTCTTAAGCCTCACCTTACCATATTAATAAAAAGTATGCGGCCCTTGCCCCACCACCTTCTCCAACCATTACATAAACTGTGTAGTAGCTCCTGCAATCTCTCATTTACTTGATATAGCTGTCGTGGCTGTGACGGTACCACCTGAAGACGGAAGCTTGTGTTGCCTCCGAAACGTCGTGATTTAAATTTTATTTTACTTATTAATGTTTTTACCTAAGTGACTTTACCGAAAAAACCTAAGAATATAACAAGGCAGATGCAAATTCCGATGAATCATTTTGGTTCTCCCTTCACCATTTTAAGGTTTGACCTCATAAACTGGGCTGTCATTACTTTTTTCCCCAATACCAATAAACACCTTGTCCTCTCATAAGGAGCAAATTTTACCTGGTCCCCCTTTCTAACTCATGTTTCTCACCAGGACATGATTGCCTTGCTGTAGCTCTGCCCCATGGATTTTCTCGTCATACTGGCCCTTCCCTTTAGTGAGTTTTTTTGTTGCAAAGTTGTATGCTATTCTGTAGGCTTCCACCATCCGCTGTCTCCACTTTTCCACATTGCTTTTAGGATCCTCCCTCTCCCTGGTGTTCGAAACAAAAAATAAGATCCACTGGTAGTTTTGGAGACCTCCCAAACAGGAGATAAAAAGGTTAGAATTATGTTGCTTCACTACGAGTACAGTTATAAGCATGCACTACCTTGGCCAGGAAGTTCTTCCAATCTGTCTTCTGCTCGTGAGAGTCCATTAATTCGATAGCTTCAAACAAAAAGCTTCGTGCAGATTATCTTGGCTCCTGAGAGATGTTAATCAAATAATGCTTTGTTCTCTACAGTGTCCCTTCAAAATGGTTTTTAACTTGTAAATAGTCAAATCTTGTTTTATTTCTGGCATGTCCCTCAAATTCAGACCAGGACTGATTGCTGTGAAAACTACCTCAATGATGTCAGACTCAGCATAGTCCTTATGGATTCCTGCGTCGATCTGGTGCATCAGATTGGTGTAAGATAACTTGTTTTTCTGCTCTCCTTCACCAATCTGCCTACAGATCCTGAATTATCTCTGTATTGTGACTTCTGACACATTTCCTGGTCTGGCCATTCGTACGAGATCCAATGCTGATCTGGTTTTGTTTCACCTTCACTTGAGGTTTTCTTTTCCTCAAGGGGTTTTCTGGAATCTTCCTGTGACTCTTGTATTTCACCATCCATATCTTCAGATAGGTTTGATTGTGGAAGTGTTTCACCTGTTCCCTTGCTGTCTTTGTCTTTATCCTGTATTGTCTCAATGAAAGAGAGCAGGTTTTGAACACAAGCACAGGCTTCAAAATCTTCTTCTTGGCCTTCAACTTCATCGAGTACTATTTCTGCCATACGAATTAAAGCCTGTCTGCTATTATCTTCAACAGTCTTATAATCATGGAAACACCTCAAACATCTACATGTTTCCGTGAGCTGGGCTCTCTGCAGCTGATCCAAGGCAGCATTATCCTTATCCTGCAGCTGTTCCAGTGCCATGATGTGAAGGCCGTTCAAATCCTTGCACGAGTGTATTTACACATGGTGCCCGTACAATTGCTTGGTCCATTTCGTTCGAAGAGTTGATCCCTGTCAGTGAACTCTGGGAAACTATCCTGCCAGGCTCGCCAAAATATGTTGTACACTCGAAATGAAGGACGTGGGCAGGTGTTCCAAATCGAGGGCAAATGCATTCATTGTGATAATCTGTAAAATGCAACAGCACGTGTGTTACACGCAGAAGTTTCCAACTGTTGTATATGTCGGGTTAAAATTTTTAATTGAATATTAAAAAAATGCTTAATTATCGTAAAGCACGATATTTTGTTGCAATTATGCGAATAAATTATGCTAATAATGGAGATTATCATATTATTTTATGCGAATGTATGCGCTTATGCTAATGTGTACGGTTATGATAATTAGGCTTAGCTTCGTTGTCTAGGGTCGTACTATCAATCGGGACAATACAATGAGTTGCTTTTACATTTACTGATTATGTCTTAGTGTGAATATGTCAGGTCTCCAAATTCCAATCTCAACGCAGGATACAGTTCTCATAATTAAGATTATTATGCATGAACTCAGGAAGGAAGCACTCAGACTCTTCTAAACAAAAACGTAACACTCTAATATGCGAACTCTCATGCTTGGAATTATCCACAGTATCACAGGGGAAATTTCCCTCATTTATCCGTACATTTAACCATCAATGATTACGTTGTTAAACTGGGCA